AAGGCGCAGATCAGCAAACTTTTCGTTCATGCCGGGGGCCACCCTTGATGGATGTTTTACGGCCAAATATTCCTTAGAGCGGTGCTCTAATTATGACAGATTGCAGCGTACGGATCGCTCAATGAAAATCTTCTACAAGAGCTCCGAATAAGGACGATCGTGCCAAGTTTTTTTTTAACATCCCCAATCGGAGAAAACAAGCAGCAAACAACTTACCGTACCAGTACCTATGACAGACGCATGTGCCATTTGGCAGCCGATAACCGCCGATTTGACAGCCATCGCTAGTGGTTTGGCTATGTGCTGAAAAACAAATATTATCAATAAAAAAGATTGCAATAAGGTTATTTCAGATTGAATGTTTTGAAAGGGAAGAGATTTCGGGCATTTCCTCTCATATTATTACTATGTAGACGATGTAGCCATGTGAAGGTAGATTTTAAGCCGTTATTTGCTCACAGGCCGTCAAATGCCGTTATCAGCTTATTTTAGAAACGGGCTATGTTCTCTCCTTCTGGATGCAGACACATGCCCCATAAAAAGCTGTGTGGCTTTACTATAAAAAATTGAAAGAAAAGGTGGAAAACACTCTATTTTAGAACATGTCTTTATGGATATAGATTTGGGGCCGTATACAGGCCGAGGAATGTGTGTTCGGAGAGACGCCGCCAGTGGATGAACGAGGGAAATAGATGTTATATCATAAAGCAACTAGCCTTATTTCACACTATTTTGGCCAAAAAACCATTTAGCAATAGAAGAAGTGTCTTTATTATTTGCGAAAGGAACCTTCTCTTTGAGCAGATGCTGTGCTAAATTGGATGTTTAGAAAGGGGAATCTGAATGCTGAAAAGGGAGACTAGGTCCCTAAGCAAACCGACCTGTTCATGGTCATGGCACGTTCATGGTCATGGGAGTGCTCGTAGCGGCCTAGAGGCTTCAACCTGTGGATGTATTGGTGATGACATTTGCCGTCTACGAAAGAGGAAAGGAGAAGAAAGGCGTTTACCCTCATGAGGAAATGTATCGTGGAATCTTATAGAACACTTAAATTGACTGACAAAAGGGGTCATTTCTAACGGTTTTGTGACAGTTTCCATTCGATTTTTGTTCCTGTGCAGCATTTATCACCTCAACTTTTATTTCGAAAAGACCAGGTCATTGTACCATGCGTCTTTGAGCTAATCGTAACATTTATCTCCAAGTCAGCAGCCTACAGATGTCGATGAGCCCCCAATGGACTACAATAGCACGATGGTCGACCTGCAGTTGAAATTTTGAACAGCGGCACGTAACGGTGAATAAGGGTGGATAGGATAACGGAGCGCAGACAAGGGTGAGGGCTTCCAGAGGAGCCTTTGAGGGGCTAAGATCGCCCTCCCTGAGCCGCCTTCATCCGCAATGCCAACAAATATCGCTTCCGTTTAGCATCTGGGCACCATCTTCACTAGCTCCACGATGTCTTTGACACATCAATTCACAACCCTTATTTTTGAGTCTATTTGTCGCACTTCTTTCCACGCGTACAAGATAATCCAACATTGTTGGGCAATTGTGGCAGCCAGAGAACAGCAAAAATAATTATTGAAAAAAGAAAAAATGTTGAAGTACATTAATTGCTCTTTTATCCGAATGGCACTCACCTGTCCAAGCTGTCACCAGTAGTATTAGAATGACTTCAGGACCCATTCCCTTAAAATGCGCTATAAATGATTAACAGCAATAGAGGAAAAGCTATCTGGAAGCAAGTGTTTCCAAAATCAAAGGGAGCGCTTATTAATGATAAATAGATATAAACTCAAAGAAGTCGGTGAATATT